AAAAAAAAAAATTCTTCTTCTGCCATCCTTGTTCATTGTCCAGCTCTCAGATACATAGTAAGTGATTGAAAAGTCTATAGGCTGTATCAGATGCACCTTATCTTTAAGTTGACATCATTGTTCCTTCGTACTTTGAAGAGGTCTTTGATAGCAGACTTTCCCAATGCAATAAGTCTTTTGATTTCTTCACTGCTGTTAGCAATGAGTGTTTATTGTGGTTCCAAGTAAGATGAAATTGTTGATGATTTCATTCTTTTCTCCATCTATTGTAATGTTGCCTTTGGGTCCAATGGTGAGGATTTTGTCTTCTTGATATTGTGATGTAGTCCATATTGAAGGCTTTGATCTCTGGCAGCAAGTGTTTCAAGTCCTTCTCACTTTCAGCAGCAAGCAGGGTGTTAGGATGGCTGAATGGCCAGCCTTGTTTCACGTCTTCAGTAATGCTTTGCTTATCTGACTTCTATAAAGTTGGAGATTACTTTTCCCGTCTCTTTGAAGGATGATGATAGGATATGAATTGAGATTGGTTTAGCTTCTTTAGTGTCTGGGTAAGATGAGGCAGTTGGCTGCTAGGACTCTGTTTCCCAAATGCTGGAATGAGCCCTGGGACTCTCTCCATGTGCTTACCCTGAACCCAGCTTTGGTCTAGTCCTACCGGGTGGGCAGCACAGAGCACTGAGCTTTACCTCTCAGGGGCTGCCAATGGGAACACATTTAAACAGTAGGTGGAGGCCAGGTTCTAACTTCCCATTATCCGGCTAGTTCCATAAGCCCACAAACCAACTTGGAATTATTTTTGTTGTTTTTATTCAGGATTATATGTGTTTTCACAGACGTTTACATTGGTGCTTTTGTTGTTGTTAGGTGCCAGCGAGTCACTACAACTCCTAAGTGACTGAGATCTGAACCTTGCCCTATCCTGTGCCAGCCTCAAGATACTTGCGCTGTCAGAGACAATAAGATTGGCACAGGACAGAGCAGGGTTTAGGGCTGCTGTACATAAGGTCACTATGAGTCACATGTGTCTAGAGGGCACTTACCAACAACAACAATAACAATTGTTATAGTCTCTGTGTCAATTCATCTTATTAAGGGTCTTCCTTGCTTTCTCTAATTCTCCACCTTTCTCAGCATAATATCTTTTTTCCAAGGATTAGACTCTCCTGACAATATGCCCTATATGAGACGGAGTTTCACCATCCTTTACTGTTCCATTATTTTCTAGTCTGTGATATATTTTGGCTGGACTACAATGGTCAAGATGATGTTAAGGCCCCAGGGTGAGAAATGGCATTGCAGAGTCCTGTTCTGTGGCAGGTGCTGGACAGAACCTTTCAAGCATGTCATCTCATTCTGAGCTCATAGCAGCTCATAGTGAGGGAAGAATTACTGCATCTTTTAAAACAGAGATCTAATCCACACACAATAAAATCTACCATTTAATATGTACAATTCAATAGGGGGAGTTTTTTTATAGTCACACCGGTATGCAATCATCAGCACTGTCAAATTCCAGAACATTTTTATCACCAGAAAAAAGAAACTCAGTGTCCGGTAGCAGTCACCCCCAATCACCGCCTTTCCCCAGACCCCTGCAACCATTAACCTACTTCCTGTTCCTGTGGATTTGCCTATTCTGGACATTTCATATTAATGGAGCTAGACATTATATGGTCTGTTGTTGCTGTTTCTTTCACATGACATGTTTTCAGAGTTGAATCATGGGGTTTTTTCCCCTTTGGGTTTTTTTAAATAATTTTTTTTCTTGATCTGTGTACCATCAAATCAGATCCGACTGGTACAGGAAGAGATTACCCCTCCTTCTCCAGCAAAGCATCTGATGGATTTGAACTGCGTACCTTCGGGATTGCAGCACAGCTTCTTGCCACTAGGCCACCAGAGCTCCCCAGAATTCATTTATGTTGCAGCAAGCATCAAAACTTCATTTCTTTGCATGGCTATACTACATTTATTAATTCATTCATCAGCTGATGAATGATTTGTGTCTTAATTTGGACTCTTGAAAGGAAGACCTTCAACAAGAAGGATTGACAGCAGTAGCTGTGGAATGGCCTTAAGCCTATCAGAGGTGGTGGGGATGGTGGAGGATAGGGCAAGGTTCAGATGGGTTGTTCATACGGGCGCTGAGAGTTGTCACTGACTCGATGGCACCTAACAACAAGAGTAGCAAAACCAGTGATATAGACAGACAGACAGGCATTTATTTCAAAGCAATGTCTCACATAATTGTGGAGGCTGGCAAGTGCCAAATCCATAGGTCAGATGGAAGACTAGAGATCTCTGCTGGCTCACAGGATTGTGGAGGAGCTGGCAACCCCAAAATCTACAGGTCAGGCAGCAGCCCAGAGATTTGAGTGCCCAAGTAAGGAAGCAGGTTTACTTCCTAAGATCTCTCTGTAGGTCAAGTGAGAGAACTGATGACAGGGAGAAAGTGAGCGATCTCTGCTATACTCAAGAGGAAGGGTACCCAAGGCAAGTCCATCTTTCAGCTAATGGATTGATTATATCTTAGAAGATAACTGTATTGCATTACATTACACATTGCAGAACAGCACAGTGTCTATTAAGCCTCTGAGAATCGTGGCCGGGCCACGCTGACATGTAAAATTAACCAGCACACTTGAGCTGTTTTCACATTTTTTACTATTATGAATACTGCTGCTGTGAGGAAACTGGAAGAGCAAGAAATGGGCACGGAGAAGTGCAGCAGTTTGCCCACGGTCACAAGTTATAAGGAGCAAAGCCAGAATCCAGACACACTGTGGGAGTCAGGATCTGGAGGCTCTGGGCAATGGGAAGACATCACTGATGGCCTATGCTTCCATCTTTGTGCAGGGGAGCTGACCTTACCCCAGGAGACAGTGGAGCTGAGCTGTGGAGCGGGACCCCTGCAAGTGATCCTGAGCCCAGGCCAGGCTGTGGTGCTGGACTGCAGTCTGGGTGCTGCTGCCCCTGGACCCCCCACCAGCGTGACCTGGAGCAAGGATGGGGCCTCCCTACTGGAGCACCAACTCCTGCGCCTGCTGCCCAACGGCTCTCTGTGGCTCTCCCAGTTACCAACCCCGGATGGCAGCAATGAGGCAGTCTCAAGGCCCTCAGGAGTCATCGAGGGCAGCTATTCCTGCCTGGCACACGGCCCCCTGGGAGTGGTGGCTAGCCAGGCTGTTGTGGTCAAGCTCACCAGTAAGTTCCTGGAACAGGGACCCAGGAAGGTGGCATGTGAGAAGTGGGGTTCACTGTTAGTGACTGACATGAATGCCTATCTCTTGAACCTACTCCCTTTTTTCCCTGCCTCCTATCCTGTTCAATGGGTTCCTTCCTGGGATTTCCATCTCTGTTGTTTTCCATTCTCTTTCCACTTCTTCTCCAGTGCCCCATTCCTCCAGTTCTTTCCCTTTGAGGTCTAGAGTCTGGAGTTGTGCTCCCCTCCAGTGAGCCTGCCAGTGAGGTACTTTCTTCAGGAGTACCCCACCCAGCCCAGTTTGGAGGGTGGAGGTATGTCTGACTGCTGCCTCACAAGAAGTATCCTCAGGGTGATGTTGATGATGATGATGATGATTCTCTCTCCCCTTTGGGAAGGGAGAGGAGGTCCCACACCTCCATTGATCCATTGGCTCAACTGGAGTGTATGGATTCGAGCCCATGGCCCAGCTCTCCCTTGGGTGACTCTCAGGAGGCACAGACCACCATGAAACAATTCTCAGGCCAGGAGCAATGTTTATCTTATTGTGCACTGACCATCACACTGATTGTCAAAGCCATTGCCATGGAGTCAGAGTGGATTCATAGCTGACTCTCCAAAGGGTTTTCAGAGATTGTAAATCACATGGGAGGAGATTGTCCTTCTTTCTCCTGGTGACTTGAACCACATGCCCCACTAGGGCCACCAGAGCTCCTTCATGATGATATAAGAAAGAGAGCTTTAAAATTTGTTCAGTTTGCAGCTCCTGACCATAATTCTCACTTCTTTTCCCTTTTGTGCCTTTCTCGTCTTGGTCTGGGTTTGCTCTGCTGTGTGGTGTTTTTGGTGCTGTGTTTTTGGTCGCTGTGTGTGTTTTTATGTGTTGCTGTCTCTCCTCTCCTGTCCATTCCCATGTCTCACTGTCCTTGTTCCCAGCACTCTCAGGCTTCTCTCTGCACCCGGAGTCTCAGTTGGTGGAGGAGAATGGTACAGCTCGATTTGAATGCCACATTGAAGGGCAGCCAGCACCAGTCATTACGTGGGAGAAAGACCAGGTGACAGTGCCCGAGGAGCCTCGGTGAGTGCCCTAGGGGAGTGGGGTCCAGAGAATGGAGCAGAGGGGCCTCCGAATGTGCTCAGAGACAGAGTCCTCACAGTCCGAGTGGCCCGTTTGCCCTAATTAGCTTGAGAGCCACCCACTGCCTGGCTCCTTGTTCATTTCTAGTCTTAAAGACAAGATGGACAGGAACTTTTTGCTTCCTGTGAGGAAGGGCACCCATCAAGCTTTGGAGTCCTTCAGAGAATGTCTGATAAAATTGCTTACTTTTTATTGAAAAGGAAACTGGAAGCCAGAGAGGAGCTGTGATTTGTCTAAGCCCACATTGGGAGTCACTCATGGCCCCACGGTAGCTCTGAGGGTTTTCTCTTTTCAAAGTTTCTTCAAGGTTTTCAGGGTAAGGAAAAGGATATAAAGTAGTGGCGGTTCCGTGGTACACATCCTGCTTTTGATGTGGGAGATATAGGAGAAGGAGAAGACCCTCGGTGAGATGGATTGACACAGTGACTGTAACAGGGAACTCAAATGTATAAGAAATAATGAGGATGGCACAGTATAGGGCAGGGTTCATAAGAGAGTCATAGTTGACTCTAAGGCACCTAAACACAATGTCAACAGTGCTGTTAGTAAACCTGTTTAATAGAACTTCCAGACACAGATGGACTAGAAAGAACCACTTGCTGATCTAACTACTAAACATCTGGCTCATAATGACCCCATCTACAGCCAGCTATGAGGTGATGGAATGGGCTGATCAGCATTCCATGTCACTGTGCCTGGGGTCACAGTGAATGAGGGACCAACTCAGCACCAGGTGACAAGTAGACTTCCCACCCTGGGGCAGCACTCTTCTTCCTGTTCTGGTTCTGTTCCCTGGAGTACAACTGTCTGATAAATGAGCTGTGAAAGTCCTTCCTGCCTCATCCTGCTCTTACTCCACAAAAGCAGTGGGTGGGTGGAACCATCTAGGGGAATAATTTCTAGGGTAGAAGAAAAGTGGAAGCCAGACACAGACATTTCTGACTTTTAACCAGCTCCACAAAGGAGAACTGTCCCTGTCAACAACATTAACAACCAATTCCCATAAGGTCAGATATGTCTCCCCACACTCCCACACCTCTTTCTACTCATCCCAACACCAACTGACTGCTTTGCTGGGTCCAAAATCTGTTGTGATAGCCCACAGACTACATGGAACCTTATTGGGGAAGTCAAAAGCTATAATACAGTGCACTTGCGGGCACCTCAGCCTTGAGGCTCATGGCTTTGGGCTAACATTGCAAAGCTCTCAGACTTGCCAACAATTATGTCTCTTTCCCCCTCCCCCTCCCCCCCCCAGTTCTCCATCAAACTTGGGCAAAAGGCTCTTATCTCTGGCTCAATAGCATAGCAGTCCCAAGGTCAACTCCATCTCACATCAGATCTCTGGTTCTCTGCTGTGACTGCTACAACTGTTGCTCTTGTAGGCTCTAGTCTAGCTGGTGCAAATACCTCTGGTCCTGAAGAACACATTACACTCTTTTGCATCTTCTTTGCTGATGGTAAGGTTTCTTCTCTTCTTTTCTGGTGCTGGATCCACTCAATTTTATGGGGAGACTAACCAATCCACTTGCGGATAGACTAACATATTCATATATTCCCTATTCACATATTCCCACTCATATACATGGCAAAGTCAAGTTCAATGGCTAGGAAAGCCAGTTTGAATATTAAGCCCTTAATATCATAATCCCTCTCTGGGGATCCAGGTGTGCATGCTGAGTCACTGACAAGCCTCCAGAGTTGTTTGCATCTGGGATCTTGGTCTCATGACTAGAACATTGTCCCATAGATACTTATCTCTTCAGACATGTGACTCTAAGGGCCATTTCCATCCCTTCTTCAGTCCTTGTCCTGTATTTCTCTAGCTTAGTTAGAAGTCCACTCACTCTCCTTCCCTCCTTTCTGGAGGTGGGTTCCGTGCATTCAGAAGTGCTGGCCTCTGGAGTCCCCTCCCCTGAGACTGGGCTGGACTTTCTCATGATGGGGTTGAGTTGTGTCTCCTCTGACGTTTTCCTCCATGTCCAGATAGAAGTGGAATGTGTAGGAGGGACAGTAGGAGAGGTCACAGGACACATGCCTGAGACAGTTGTGAGAGATAAATTAGGGCAAGAAGTCAAGACATAAGAGATCCTGCTGACTCCGATGACCAGAGCCCTGTTAGCCATCTGTGTGTCACATCCTACCAGGTGAGAAGTTCTTCCCACCTATAAAAAGGAAAATAAATGTTGGCGAAATCGTGTTTCTTGTAGGACACTAGTCCCAGCAGGTGCTTCCTGGGGAAAAGTATTCCATGGTCAAATAAGGTCAGGAAACTACCTGTAATTCAGAGTTAGCAAGACCTCCAGAAGTACTTTTTCAATCAGATTCCTTTTGCAGGGAAACCCTGTTAACATTCCCTGAGTGAGCATTTTAGGGAGCTGTCCGTGAGAACCACCCTTCCAGCACTGGCGTTGTAAATTCAGTGCCTTTCTAAATGCAGGAGCTTCTCGCTGCTGTGGATAGGGGCTTCCTGGGGCTGCCATGAATCCAGAGCCAACGATGGCCAGAGCCAAATGAGCGCCCACTCCTGGTAGAAAGAGTGAGAGCCAGCATGGTACTCTCCCCAAGTCGAAAGTCACACTAACCCACCGCCGTTCAGTCAGCTCACCTTCCGTCCGGTCTCCAAGGCTGTCAGTCTGATGCGATCCAACTGTGGAATGGCTAGTGGAGTCACACTGCCAGCCTTTGGGTTTGTAGTGTAACATGTAACACACTATGCAGCCAGAGATCCTTGAAAGCCACAGTAGCCACCATTGTTGTTGTTGTTACGTGCCGACGAGCCCACTGCAACTCATAACAGCTCTAGCAACAATAGCTCTGAACCTTGGCCCATTCTGAGCCAATCTCACTGTCTTCAACAGTGACCGCCATGACCTACCTCAGTGGCCACTTAATGAGAACTCAGTCCAGGGTGGGCACCGTTGCCTGTGTTTTCTCATTTAATCTTTCTCTTCATGTTCTGAGGTAAATATTTCTTGATTTTCATATTCCTCCCCCCTCTGTTTACTTGTAGTTTGTATTCCTAGCATATAGGTTTTTCAAATTCAGTTAAAAAGAAACAAAAATAACCAATAACCTAACCCCCATAGAGAGCATTGTTAGTTTTGATGTGTATCTGCCCCACTTCCACATCTTCCCCCACTCCTGAATTTTCTGTAACTATTCTCTTTAAAAGATAGCAGATTCAGGCCATGGTCTTTGCAGTTACTTGCTATGTGTCAGAAAGCTGGACAGTGACTAGTGATGATAGAAGGAGAATTGATGCCTTTGAGCTGTGGTGCTGGAGAAGAGTATTGAATATGGACTGCTAGGAGAACAAACAGGGTAAGATTAGCTGCTCCTTGGAGGCAAGGATTCTGAAGCCTCATCTGACATACTTTGGAGATGTTGCAAGGAGGGATCAGTCCTTGGAAAGGGACGTCACACTTGGGAGAGTGGAGGGACAGCACAGGAGAGGAAGACCCTCTATGAGATGGATTGATTCAGTCACTGGAGTAATTGTGGTAGTGTGTGAGAGACAATAAGATTGGCACAGGGTAGAGCAGGAATTAGGGCTGTTGTACGTGGGGTCGATTTGAGTCACAAGTAACTCAATGGCACATGTCAACAACAACATTCTCTTTAAAAGGGAGCTCTAGAGCTCTTATGGCTTAATAGATAAAGAGTTTCACTACCAACCCAAAGACACCACCAGATGCTCCACAAGAGAAAGATAGGTAGCTTCCTCCTGTGCATTTACAGCCTCGGAAACCAAATGGAGGGTGAGCCAAGTGTCCGTTCCAACTCAAGGGCAATGAGCAAGTGATTCGCCTTAAAAACTTGTTTATTACAAGATTGATTGACAGGGTGATTGCAACAGTGGGCTTATGCAGAGCAGAGTTTGTGGGGACGGTTTAGGATTGGCCAGGGTTTCCATCTGTTGTACATGAGGTTAGAATCAGCAGGGAGCTCTGGTGGCCTAATAGTAAGAAGTTGTGTTGCAGTCCTGAAGTTACATAGTTTGAATCCACCAGCTGCTCTGCGGAGAACGATGGACAATCTCCTGTGCAATGAAGTGCCCCTGAAAACCCATTGGAGGGTCTAACTGTGGGTCCGATCTGACTGGATGGTACAAAATAACTGGGTTTTGTTCAATCATCTTTTAAAAAGCAGAGCAAAAATATTATGCAAAAATGTTATTATATTGTTCTGCAACATTCCCCCCTGCCACGATGTGGAGAAAGATAGCAGTCTCTATCTGTACAACTTACAGCCTTGGAGTTGGACTTGATTAGCCCACAGTGAGATGATGATGATGTGTGGATATAGCAGAGGTGACTGGTATTAAGAAATGAGGAAACTGAGGATCAGAGATGAAAGTCACTTGGCCCACATCACACAGCCAGCTCCAAGGTCCATGTTCTTCTGAGTCCCAGGGTGGAGTCTCAGCCTCTCAAAGGTGTAACTTGGTGACTGAGGCAGAAAAGCCTGAAAGTCTGACAGTATTCCTACTGCCAGTAGGGCTTAGCAGATTGAGTAGTCCAACTGAGGTTCTCGACAGCAGGGTGACTCCCAACGTCTTTCAGCAAATCAGGGTTCAGAACGTGCGGCCAACGTCTAGTTTGAGTGGCGTCCTGTGAAGCCACTGGCCTCTGCCAGTTCCTAGGCTTTGGAGCGTTCGCCCCAAGCCCTCTGAAAAGTGATCCCCATCTATAAATAAGCCAGGCTCACATGTCCCAGCACATTGTGTGGGGGAAATAAAGAAATGTCGAAAACAGCAACTTGATTATGCCTGAGGTATGTATTTTTACACATGCCCAGATATAGTACATGTACAAATATGCTATTCATAAGCCCAGCGCAGTGGTTTGAAGGAGACCATATGCCTTGGTGTAGGGTGCACACGGGCATTTAATAAACACCCTCTGCCAGGGTAGATGTGCGTATTTAGATGTGCATAT